GTTTTCTGTTACAGCGGTAAAGGTGCAGTGAGGTGTGAAAATGGAACCAGTGGAGTATCGAGCAGTGATCAGGTTTTTATACTTGAATGGCCGCACTCCACAACAGACCTTTAATGACATGAAAGCAACTTATGGGGAGGATGCCCCATCGTATCTCGTTGTTAAACATTAGCATCGCCAGTTCAGGTGTGGTCGGAGATCTGTAGAAACGGCTCCTATCCGAGGGCGACCCCGGTCTGCCATTGATGAGGACACCATCCATCAAGAGGAGACTGCCATTCGCCGTTCGTCATTTAGCCCAAGATGTCAAGAGTAGTGTTGGATCTGTGGACAAACTCATTCATGACCATTTGCATATGTAAAAGTTGTCTGTTTGATGGGATCCCAAGCTACTCACCCTTTCCAGAAGCCGGAACGAGTCCATTGTTTTTTAGCCAACGCAGGTGTCGTAGGGGAAGTCACTGCCGTGGCACAAGTGTTAACGCGCCGAACCGAGGTTGATTAGGAAGGGCATTCAATCGGGCAAGGGTGACACTGCCATATAACCTCTCAATACTGAAAAGGCCTATGTCCTTTAGTGGAATGAATGGCTGTTGAAAAGAAAAAGAAAAAGAAAAGAAAAAATAAATAAATAATATATATATATATATATATATATATATATATATAAATTTATACATGTGAAAAGATGCCCCACTATCATTCTTTGTGGGTACAATTGCAAAAAAAATAAAGACAGCAGACATGCATGTGAGTGGGCCGGAATACGTAAAGGAAAAATCATAAATACGAAAAGTTAGTCTCACAACTCTTTCTAGCAAAATTGAAACAAATAGCCTGGCAGATAGAAAGATAGATACAGATCTACAGTAATGAAGGGTGGGGGGATTGGCATGTATCCCCTCACCCATTTAATGATTGTGCGTTGTTGACAAGTTTCAAGAATGGCTTATCGACATCACTAGCATTAAAAAACGTAAAAAAATACCCATTTCAGAGCGCAAAGGGGATCTTTGAAAGCTTTGCCAACCTTTTTCGAAGTACAATCTACTACCTCTATGAAATATTCACCAATGCAAATATATATATGTTTATTTATACATACATATATATATATATATAATATATATATATATATATATATATATATATATATATATACATATATATACATATATATACATATATATGTATATATATACATATATATAGATATATATGTGTATATATATATATATATATATATATATATATATATATATGTATGTGTGTGTTTGTTTGTGTGTGTGTGTGTGTGTGTATGTGTATGTGTGTGTGTATGTGTGTGTGTGTGTGTGTGTGTGTGTGTGTGTGTGTGTGTGTGTGTGTGTGTGTGTGTGTGTGTGTGTGGTAGAAATGCCCGCAATGCACATACTAGAAGAGTTATTAATGAAAACCCACAATGCACAAACTAGATTAATTGATAATGAGGCAACAGTTTCGAAGTTCACCTGGATTCCATCATCAGAGCCTGGCACCGGACGTTTCGAACCCACCGGACGTTTCGAATCGCCCCTTCGCCGTGGGCACAACCCTTGATCGAACTCTCTGTCATGAGCTTGTCAAGGAGAAAGAACCAATACCCCATGCCTAGTCTGAAGGCAGAAGCCATCACTCCTCCGGGCAGTACAATCTACTTCACGGATGGATCAGTCGATCTTGTATACCACACTGCAGACGCCGGCTATGTAGCAAGGGATGCCACAAAATCCATGAGGGTAACAGACAATGCCCCCTCGCTATAGGCAGAGGAAGTTGCGATCATGGGAGCCCTAGCCAACGCATCCCTGAGGGAAAGACAGGTGGTCAGATTCCACAGATTCCAGGCCAGCCACTGACTGTCTACAGCACAGCCTACCCAAAGACATCTACCTCCTGACCACTGTGGTTACCATTGCGCAGATGATTCTTGCTCAGGGTAGAAGAAGAATCATAAACTGGGTACCCA